TTGGTCTCTGCTCAGGTCAAGATCTCAAGGGCATGAGATCAAGTCCCAAGATGGGCTCTGCACTCAGCGAGGAGTCTGCTTCAGATTCTCTCCCTCTGCCCCACTCCCACTCACTCTCTCTCCCTCCCAAATAAATAAATCTTTAAAAAATAATTTAAAAAATAAAAGAAACCATTAAGACAAGTTTTTCTCTTCCATTCTCAGTGACTTCTTAACAGCTTTAATCAACTTTGACTACTCCCAAATTCCAGTCATATATTTCAACAGCCTCATTATTTTTCTTCTTTATTCATAGTACTCTTTCTAGCAATAAACAGAACTAAGTCCTACAAAAGTATTTATTAGCAAAATAAATTAAAACAAAATTAGAGAATCAATATTTAAATGAACTACACACATCCAAAAATAGCACCTCTCAATGATGAGATTAACTTTTTTTAATATACTTTAAAACTTGGGACATAAACTCACATTTCACACACAATATGGGAGGGAGAGTAAATAATTTGATTCTTGTCCCCATTCATACCTTATAAATTGTTACAATTTTTAGTTCATCATTGGTCTGATTTGGTAAATCACAAAGATTTGTGATTCAAAAAGAAAAAAAAAGTTTGTGAGTACTAGGACATTTCAGCATGAAGTAGCTAACACTCATTTTTGATTAAACAAAGTCTCTGATGGCCTTGTGTTATCTTTCTTTCTTTCGTTTTTTTTGAGAGAAAGTGCCTGCATGGTGGGGGCTGGGGGGCCCACAGGGAGAGAGCATCTTAAGCAGGCTCCACACCAAGTGCAGAGCTCCACACAGGTGATCTCATAACCCTGAGATCATGACCCTGAGCCGAAATCAAGAGTCAATGCTTAACCAACAGAGCCACCCAGGTGCCCTGCCTTGTGTTATCTTTAAAGGATAGATATCATTTTTTTTAAGATTTTATTTATTTATTTGATACAGAGAGAGAGGGAAACTGAGAGGGAGAAGCAGATTTCCTGTTGAGTGGAGAGCCCCACACCAGGCTCGATCCCAGGACCCTGAGATCATGACCCAAGCCAAAGGTAGACAACCTACTGAGCCACCCAGGCACCCAGGATAGATATCATCTGGCAGTGAAAATTATTGAGGCAGGGACAAGACTCCTCAACCCTGGTGGGAAGATAGTCAAGAAGTCTATCACCTGTGGTACCATCTCCTCATGCTGCATTATATACATGCTCATGTGTTTCCTAAAATTTGGGACATTGTCAACTGATTTATGAAAACTGTTTTGGCATCCTGGATAAGACAAGCTAAAACCTACTCTAATTAGAAATATGACAGAAGAGTCAAGACTCTTGTGTGTTCCCATAAACTCATAAAAAGGACAACTGATGAAACAAGGTATATGCACATAACCTTTGGTAGATAATGTTAATTAAGAGGTTATTCCCATTTACACCCAGGAAGGGACAGGGAATGGGACGGGTCAGACACAGGGACAAGAAGACCAAGAACCTCAAAGAACAGTAGACCCTCCAATTTAATTAAAGTTCTGAATAAAATATTGGAAATACAGGAAAGATTCCCTATTTAGAAAGGAGACCTTATTGGAGTGCCTGGGTGGCTCAGTCAGTTAAGCATCCAACTCTTGATTTTGGCTCAGGTCATGAGCTCAGGGTCCTGAGATCAAGTCCTACGTTGGGCTCTGCACTCAGCGTGGAGTCTGCTTCTCTCCTTCTCCCCTCCGCCCCTCTCCACCCACCTCTCTAAAATCAATCAATCAATCTTAAAAAACAAAAGGAGACCTCATCAAGGTAAAACTTAGAATATATAAGAAAACTACGATGTAGTTAAATGGAAATGGGACAGCAACAGAAAGATGAGTTGGTCCGAGGATCACGATGTGATACCAGATTCAAAGGAGAGCCAGTTCCTGGGAAAGGGCACAGTGTCTCTTTCAGCATCCCCTCCCAACCCAGTGGTGAACAGTGACCAGGAGACTTGCACAACCCTGACATAGCCCCATCACTGGTGATCATAGATGTACCCATGGTAAGGTACACACTGGAAAACTGAGGAAAGATACACTAAGCAAGGGTCATGGAGAGAATGGGCAGTACAGGGAGAAATGACAAATTCCCCAGAATGCCAGAAGTTAGCATCAATTCACTCAGGAGGAAGTAACAAGAAATTATTTGAAGAACGTAAAACACCATTTTCTATTTTACAACACTGAAGTCAATACCATTAACCAGGAATTACTACACAGAGATATGAAAGATACAGAGTATCTTGTTTACATGTATAGAGAAGTGAGAGTTTCAAAGAAGTTTGTTTCTTTCCAAAACAATTTATAGTGGTCACTGACTTATGCTCTCTAAAGAAATAAAAATTAGGGATTGTGCAGGATTGTTTTCTTTATTATTTCTGCCATATTTTCTACAGATTTTAAATATCCCTCCTCCTCTCTCCCACCCAGGCTGGGCCAAGGTCTAGAACACCACCATTTGAGGTTTATTCCTTTAAATTCAGCACCATCCTTGTTGTCCTCTTCTCTCTGTCTTCTAACTATGTGCCTCTAAGAAATAGGTATTAAGTCCTTAAGCATGAGCCCCTAGATAGAGGCTTTCAAACTTTTGACCACAAGCCACAGTGAAGAAATATATTTACTTCTAGAGCCAGTACACACCAAAAAAACATACCTATAAAACCTACACAGAAGCTCCTCACAACTTATACCCTTACTACATATGATAAACTGACCTTCTCCATTCTACTCTTTTTTTTTTTTTTTTAATGCTACTAACCCAGCTGTTAGGTCATAGCTCATAGTTTCAAATACTTAGAGATAAGATACACTGACACATCAAAATAACAACATAAGAAAGTAGGTAAGAGTTCTGCATTCAGGTTGTCTGAATTCAAACACCAGCCCTACCACTTGAAGCGTCAACCTCTCTGCCTCAGTTTCCTTGTCATGGGAATAAAAGAACAGCGTCTATCTCAAAACTAAGGATTAACCAAGACCATCCACATAAAGCAATTAAAGCATAAAAATTATTCAGTTAATGGCTAGTAATAATTCTTTAATGGCCTGTGGATTTTATTGTGGTAAAATATACATAAAATTCATCATTAAAAAAAATTCATTTTAACTATTTTGAGGTGTACAATTCTGTGGCATTTAGTACATTCACAATGTTGTGCAGCCACCACCACCACTCTCTAGTTCCAGAACATTTTCATTACCCCAAAAGGAAACCCATTAAGCAGCCACTCCCCATTCTATCCTCTTCCCCAGGCTCTGACAACCCCTAATCTGCTTTCTACCCGTAGGTCCATGGACTTTTGAAGTAATAAATTAACATTTGTAAAACCATTTTCTAGGGTAGACTGAAGTGTTCTTTGGATTCATTAGCCCTATGGCTCACAAGACATACTTCTGCTCACCATTTGTTTAAATAAACCTTGTGAGTCACTTAAGGTAATTTTGTGACCTGTTTGGGAGTCAGAAATCCCCCTCTCCTGTGAATTTGGCAAGATTCCCAAAGTCTGACCAATGTTAGGAAGAAGACTGCTTTCAGTGTCCACAAGAGGCAGAATGAGTAAGGCCCTAAAAGATGTTTCTTCATTACATCGTGGAATGTCACCAAAGGATAGAATATTCACCAAATGAAGACTGCTTATTCTTCATCTTTGCATTTTGAAATTCGGCTTTTCAGTCTCTGAACTTTTACCATCAAAAGGTAAAAAAGTGAACTTGGACAAAGAACTAGAACTTTCTATGTAGTATCATTTCCTTTTGGGGCCCCACCCCTCTCACACTGATTTCCCACCCTTCCTTTGTGGTGTGGAAGGCTGGGCAAAAATAACTTTTTTCTTCCCAGGATCTATAAGGGGAGTCGCCGGATACTCCATCAAGAAAGTAACAGGGACAGAGAAGTTACCTTGCAAAGCAACACTGTTCTTCCTTAAGAAACGGTGAAGGCAGAGGTTTCTTAGGCCAAATAACTAAATGTCACCAAGAGGCACAAAAGATTTAAGCTGGAAAACAACGTCCTTGGTCCCAGTTGCAGAGTCAGAAGCTTTCTTTCTCTTTTTTGTAAAGACCGGCACCATTCACCCAGCAAATAGGCAGCGAAGTCCTCATTTTCCATTCTCCCTCCTCCATCCCCTACAGCTTTCCAGCCTTCTGGGTGAAAGCCTGACCCGCCTCAGGCACGGATAGCACTAGGCAAACCCGGCCTGGAGGTACTCCGATTCGGGGTCCCAGAGCCCAGCGAACTTCCCCGATTCCCAGCGAGTCACTTTATTGCTTTCGAGCTTTTAGAATGGGGGCGGGGGCTTCAAACAGCAAACCAGCCAGAGAAACCTCACGCCTCAAACTCTCGGCAATCCATGCCCTGAGCTGTGCCAAATCCTGGGAAAGTCCTGAGATGGAGTTAACCTGAAGTGGACAAAAGAGAATTACAACTTTCCAAAGACCCGGGTGCCCTGGCAAGTCAGCGTGCGGGTCTCCGAGTTTGCCACAAAGAATCACCCCGGCGCTCCAAGCAGACGAAGCCAAAGCTTCACCCCAGACCTACCAAAAAATTAGACCTCAAGAAGAAGGACGACCTAGGAAGCCCTCCCGTCCACAAGCGCCAGGTGATCCTAATCCTGGCAAGTCTGGGTTCGGCACCTGCTTCAAGCATCCGGCCCTGGGAGCTCTGGCGGCAGGGGCTCCGGCCTCCCACCCATCAGGTAGCTCACCGACCGCGGTCCCCGCAACCCGAGGCTCAAGGAGAGGGCTGCGCGCAGGACCCGGAGGACCCCAAAGGGACCGCTGAGCCAGACCTCGGGCGCAAGGCCCTCGCCTGGCGGGACAGCGGGGCCAGGGCCGAAGGCGGGGTTCGGAAGGTGACAGCACTCTGTCCTCTGCCAAGAGTGAGGCAACTCCGGAAACTTCCCGGAGCCGGGGCGCGCCTCCCTCGGCCACCTACTCCGTGTCCCGCAAGCCGGAGCCGCCGGCTTGCGCACTGACCTGAGATGGTCTCCTGGTAGCCCTTGGTGAAGAACTGCATGGCCGTGGCCGCCCTCCACGGCGTCTTGAGCAGTCCCTGCCGCTGGGGGTCCTCGCCTAGCGAGCGCAGGATAGACGAGTAGGCGGCCGCCAGGTTGGGGAGGTTCAGCTCATTATCCTCCTCGCTGCGGGGCCTTTCGCCCTTCCAGCCGTCGGCCGGCTGGACGGTCTTGGTCTCCGGCCGCGGCGGCTTCTCGGCCAGCCCGCTCGGTCCGGGTCGCGGCGGCTCCCCCTCGGGGAACCCATTACTGCACCTGGCGCCCCGCGGCTTCGCCGGCGCCCGCACCGGACCTTTCTCCATGGACCCGCCTCTGCCGCTCCGGAGGGACTCTGGGACGCTTCGAGCACTGCAACTAAAGTGCGCCGGCGGCCGCAGGAAATAGGCTGTGGCCAGGATCACCTGAGGAAAGTAGGCGACCGGCCAGTGACACCCTCCCAGCCAGAGACAGTGGAAGCCTAGGGAGCTCGGCAGTGCCTCCTTTTTATCTGCTGGAGGCTCGGCCGGCGCCGCGGGGCGTTCCCATTGGCCGGAGCCTCCGCGCGTCATGGCGCTCGCCCCGCCCCCTCGCCTGTCCTCCGCGGGGCTCCTGCGAGGGGGCGGCCCCGAGGGAGGGGCGCGAGGCGGGGGATCGACCCCGCGAACTCCGGAAAGGCCGCCCCTGGGGGCGGTGAAGCTGACCCGCTGGGGACTCCTCCGGCGCCAGCCGGGAGGAGAGGGATGGACCATTTGGGTTGCAGTGTGAACCGAATCCAAAAGGAGGCAGGCGTCGGGTGCTGGAACCGTGGCGTGGGGATGCGTGCCGGGGGCGCACGGTCAGCCCTCTCAGGCGAAGAAAACACTGCCTCAGAAGTGCTCTGGTCCCCTCGCTCTGTGAAAGATGACCAAACAGGTGGCCTCGAGGGGAAAAGACTGTGGGTAAGAAGACCAGCTCTTAATGTTTGTAGGGCAAGAGAATAATATGACACAAAACTCGGGTTGGTTAGTTAAAAATTGTCCGACGCTCCTGCCACCAACGAGAAGCCTCCCACTCGCGTGAGTCTCTGTATCTAGGTGGATGGTATTTGTGAGGGTCAGAACTTTGACCCTGGAGAAAAACTGATTTACAAGAGAAGAAAAGTTAGCACTTTCATTAAAAACCCATTTGCGCTCTGGAAATTTGGTACTAATCGTTTTAGAGTGACGTGCTAAGTAAGCTCCTTTCCCCTGGTGTTGGTACAAATTGTGAAACGTTATTGATCAGCTGGACTCGGAACCAGTGACATCTGCTTTGACTGTTTTCTTTAAGATTAAAAAATGGGCTTTTTTAAAAAAATGGGCTTTTTTCCTCACTTGAGGAATTATTTCATAATGCCAACGGTAAGTTTTAAAACACGTATCAAATTAATATATGATTTGCTTCAGAGAGTTTCTAATGCTGGCTTTCTGACATATATACAGCTTTTACAAAGCTTCAAATCAGACAAACCAGGAGAGAAGCCCCTGAAATTATTCTATACTAATACAGTAGCTCAGTCATTATAATTATTAATTAGTATTTATTGGATATCTGCTCCAGGCATAGCCCTGTTCTAAATATCAAGGAAAGAAATATGGAAATTCCTTGGCCTCCTCAGCACCTTTAGTCTAAAACAGAAGAAGTATTCATGCCAATGTGGTTTTTAAAGATAATTATTGAATTTCTATATGCATGAAATGCCAAACTACATAAATCAAGAAATATGACCATCCCTTGGGCTCTCTGTCAGTCTGCTAATATTTTTGTAAGGTTTTTCCCCCATCAGCAAGGTCCTGTAACATTTTTTTCCCTGTAACTGCACTGCCCACTGTCCACTGATATTTTCTGGTCAGAGTTATCCACTGGGTCTCAAAATGTGTCAGCATAGATGGAGACAACATTAAAGAATGGCCTTGTATTTAGCAAATGAAAACAAAGATACCAAGTGAGGTACTTTTAAAAGTGGAAGGATTCAATGGAGACACTTTCAAATAAGATGTTTTCTTAGTCGCAATCTTGTGCCTTCCTTTAAAAGCATTTGTAAACATTAACTAATATCGTATTCTCCAAAGACAATTTCTAATGACATTTTTACCCTAAAAATTAAATTTTCTTATAAACACTGCCACTGAGGCATCAGCATTTTTGTTACTCTGGATTTGTTCTATAAAATATTTACTTGTTAAATGGAGGCAGTACCTTTCAGCCAAATGCCCAAAGGTAATACAAGGAAGCTTTATAATCACCATTATATAAACAGTTTAACAGTGAAATGTAGGTTGTTGGCAGGGGTGGTTATAAGTAGAAATGAGAGAAGAAGGAGGAATAAACTAAAATAGGAGGGACATACTCCACAGAATTTATTAGCACAAAATATTTCAACAGTAAAACTATGAGCATTCACAGCTAGAAACTGTAATGACATCTATGTTTCTAACCCAGTAAGGGACCCAGTTTCACCTTGGACCCAACCTGGGAGTGACTCTATCAAAAAACCAAGGATTTTTTTTTTTTAATTCTCCCATTTTTAGGACAGTAGCAGAACAGAGAAGCAGATGAGTGAGATATAGTATCAGAGATTGAATACTGCAGTGCTATAGAAATGTATAGTCACTTACCAAGGGTAACAGGTAAACTAACCTTAGGCATTTGGCAATGGTAACTGGAAAAGAAAAAAGTAAATTTCTTTAAATGCACTTGATGAAGATTTTATATTTGAGATTCAAACTTTAGAGGATATTCTTGACTAAGGTGGAAAGATACACAAGAAAAGTGTCCTTATTCCACTCCTAACTTCCAGAAGAAAAACTGTGAAGTCAATGAAATCCTGAGATGTCTCACTAAATCCCCCAAATGTCAGGGGAAGCAAACTAAATTGAGCCCTTAACTTCTCCTCTTACTGAGGAGGAATGGAACAACTTTTGGAGAGAAAAATGGAACATTGAGCTGACTCTCTGAGATGGAAAGGAATGAGATCACTCAGCTCTATACTGAGTTGAGGAAGGTGTCCACAGCCCAAAGTTACCTCACAAGGGAAGGGTAGATATACCCCAAATATCACATGTCCCTGGCAGAGGATCTTAAATAACACCTCAAAAGAACTAGCATGTGCTAAAAAGAGGGGTACTAATGAAGAGTGCCTTCTACCACAGATGAACACTGTCCCAATCTTCACAGTCCCTTATAGGAGAAAGGATATATCACAGTCACCTCAAGTCCCAAACTGTAGCAGAGTCAGGAAAACAAATGAGGTTCCACAGTAATGGGAACACAAAGAAGTCATCCTCAATAATATCAGGCATGGGTGGAACAGCAAAACGGCACAGCAACCATTGCAAACATACAATAGCCAAACAAAACAGACTAAACAAAGGCGGGAATAATATACCATATTGAAGACACAAAGACAAAGAATGCAGCTGAGTAGGAAATAAAGCTCATGGAACAGAAGAAAATTCCTCAAAAATTTTTTATGCTACAAAACAATAAAAACATGAGTTCAATATGATAAAAAAAAAAACCCAAGATAATAGAATAATAAAATTGAAAAAGGAGTTACAGATCTAAGGAAATGAATTGAGGACCATCATTATTATGGAATTTGTTAAAAAGAATCATGTATAAAATAGACACTGCAGGGCCTGGCGTGCTGCGGAGGAACGGCTGTTGATCTGCGGTGGCTTCAGGTCCCCGGCTCGTTGGTGGCTCCCGCGCTCTGCTTCTCCCCACTTCTCTCCAGCAGCTGCCTGGTGAAGACAAAGCCATGGCGCTCTGGGTCACCAGGAACACAAAAGTTAATGTTGAAAATAAGGTGAAGGTCAGTATGGCAGGCACAAAGCGCATGCCTCTGGCCACGACTGCGGCCTCCAAACCCGGGCTGAGGCCAAGAACGGCTCTCAGAGACATTGGTAACAAAGTCAGTGAACAACCACAGGCCAAACTGCCTCTGAAAAAGGAAGCAAAAACTTTGGTTCCTGGAAAAGTTATTGCTAAAAAAATACCTAAACCTCTGGAAAAGGCACCTGAGCCTGTGCCAGAACCAGAGCCAGATCCTGAGCCCATTAAAGAAGAAAAACTTTCGCCTGAGCCTATTTTGGTTGATACTCCCTCTCCAAGCCCAATGGAAACATCTGGATGTGCCCCTGCAGAAGAATATCTGTCAGGCATTCTCTGATGTAATTCTTGCAGTGAATGATGTGGATGCAGAAGATGGAGCTGATCCAAACCATTGCAGTGAACATGTGAAAGATATTTATGCTTATTTGAGACAACTTGAGGAAGAGCAAGCAGTCAGACCAAAATACCTACTGGGTCGTGAAGTCACTGGAAATATGAGAGCCATCCTTATTAACTGGCTAGTACAGGTTCAAATGAAATTCAGGTTACTGCAGGAGACCATGTACATGACTGTTTCCATTATTGATCGGCTCATGCAGAATAACTGTGTGCCCAAGAAGATGCTGCAGCTGGTTGGTGTCACTGCCATGTTTATTGCAAGCAAATATGAAGAAATGTACCCTCCAGAAATTGGTGACTTTGCCTTTGTGACTGACAACACTTACACTAAACACCAAATCAGACAGATGGAAATGAAGATTCTAAGATCTTTAAATTTTGGTTTGGGCCGCCCTCTACCCCTGCATTTCCTTCAGAGAGCAACTAAGATTGGAGAGGTTGATGTTGAGCAACATACTTTGGCCAAATACCTGATGGAACTAACTATGTTGGACTACTATATGGTGCACTTTCCTCCTTCTCAGATTGCAGCAGGAGCTTTTTGCTTAGCACTGAAAATTCTTGATGATGGTGAATGGACACCAACTCTACAGCATTATCTCTCATACACTGAAGAATCCCTTCTAAATGTTATGCAACACCTGGCTAAGAATATAGTCATGGTGAATCGTGGGCTTACAAAGCACATGACTAACAAGAACAGGTATGCCACATCTAAGCATGCTAAGATCAGCACTCTGGCACAGCTAAATTCTGTACTAGTTCAATACTTAGCCAAGGCTGTGGCAAAGGTGTAACTTGTAAACATGAGTTAGAGTACTATAACTGCAAATAAAATTGGCACCATGTGCCATCTGTACATATTATATGTTACCTTTACTTTTAATAAAGTTTGTGGTCCTTTTTACTTCTTAAAAAAAATAGACACTACAGAAAATGTAATTACTGACATGAAGAAAGGCAGGTGAATGAATGCAGAAAAGAGAGAAAGATGAAAGCTTTTAGAGAAGACAAAGATGATCCAGCATAAGAATAATTAGGGTTCCAAAGATAGAGAACTCAACAAATGGGAGAGAATGTAGTCAAAGATATAATACAAGCATATTTCTGTACCAGAAAGAAACCCTTATATTTACATGCAATTGATTTTCAACAGGAGTGCCAAGACAATTAAATGGGGTAAGAAGTCTTTTCAACAAATGGTACTAGGGCAAGTGGACATCCTCTTGCATGTAGCAAAAAAAGAACTTGGGGTGGGGGGGTCGGTGAAATAGGCGAAGGGGATTAAGAGGTATAAAATTCCAGTTATAAAATGAATAAATCATGAGGACAAAAAGTATAGCCTAGGGAACGTGGTCAGTAATATTATAATAGCATATGGTGACAAATGTGACTACACTTATTATGGTGAGCTCTGTATGATGAATAGAATTGTCAATTCACTATGTTATACACCTGCAACTAATATAACATTGTGGATCGCTATCTCACATCATATACAAAAATTAACTCAAAATAAATCAAAGACCTAAACGTAAAAGCAAAATTTATAAAACTCTTAGAAGAAAATATAGGCATCTTCATGTCCTTGGATCAGCCAATTAGATTTCTTTAAAAAGACACCCAAAGTGGAAGTAACAAAGGGAAAAGGAAAAGATAAATTAGACTTCACCAAAATTTAAAACTTTTGTGCTTCAAAGGACACTATCCAAAAAAGGGAAAATATAACCCACAGAATGGAAGAAAATATTTACAAATCATGCATCTAATAAGGAACTAGTATCTAGAATATATAAAGAACTCTAACAACTCAATAAAAAGACCAGGAACCGATGGGCAATAATTCAATGGACAAAGGATTTGAATGGACATTTTTCCAAAGTATACACCTAGTCAAGAAATACATGAAAAGATGCTCAACACTATTAGCCTTCACGGAAATGCAAATTAGGGTATGAGTGAATACTACCTCACAACCCCTAGGATAGCTCTATTCAAAAAGATGATAACAAATGTTTCTGAGAACATGAAGAAATAGGAATTCTCATACACTGCTAGTAGGAATATGAAATAGTGCAGCTGCATTAGAAAATGGTCTGTCAATTCCTCAAAAAGTTAAACATAGAATTCCTATATGAGCCAGCAATTCCACAGCAAGTAGAAACCTAGGAGTAACAAAAACATGCCTACACAAAACTTGTACATGAATGTTCATAGCACCATTATTCACAATAGCCAAAAAGTGGAAACAACCCAAACGTCCATCAACTGATGAATAGATAAACTAAGTGTGATACTAAGTGTGATATACATGTACACTGGAATATTATTCAACCATAAAAATGAAGTACTGATATATCCAATAGCATGGATGAACCTTGAAAACATTATACTAGGGCGCCTGGGTGGCTCAGATGGTTAAGCATCTGCCTTCTGCTCAGGTCGTGATCCCAGGGTTCTGGGATCCGGCCCCACATCAGGGGTGGGGGGGTGGAGGGAGTGTTCCTGCTCAGAGGGGATCCTGCTTCTCCCTCTCCTTCTCCTGTTCCCCCTGCTTGTGCTCTCTCACTCTGTCAAATAAATAAATAAAATCTTTAAAAAAAAAGAAAACATTATACTAAATGAAGAAAGCCACATGCAAAAGGCCACATACTGTGTAATTCTGTTGTGTGAAATGCATAGAATAAGCAAATGCATCAAGACAGAAAGTAGATTAGTGGTTGCCATGGAGTGACCACTAATAGGGTATGGTTTCTTTTTGGGTGGTGAAAGTTTCCTGGAATTTGTGGTGATATTTGTACAACTTTGTGAATATATTAAAAACTATTGAACTGTACAGTTTAAAAGGATGAATTTTATGGTATCTGAATTATATCTCAATAAAAAGGATATTTCTCTTAAAAACTAAAAATAAAATTTGCAAAATATATCTATAACTTTCCTAGAACCAGATGTTCTAGAAAAATTTGAGACAGAATGCTCAACGCCAAGCTGGATAAACTTCAAGGTTAAAGACAGTTTCAAGGATAGAGTTTTTCAAGCAGCCACGGAAAAACAAAACAAAACAACAAATTGCCTAAAAAGGTTTGCGAGTAAGGATACAAGCTATCCTCTGGTTTTTCCACAGCAACAGTCATTGATAAAAAAAAAAAATTAATTTTTTTTGGAGGAGACAGCTTTATCACTTTAAAGAAAGTAAGTTATACCTACTCAAGAGAGTATTTAAGTCCAGGGAACACTGTCTTAAACATGTATGAACTCAGAAAACACAACTCATAGAAGTTTCTTATTGAGAAAACCACTCGATATGAGATCCTGCTAATTAAGAGATAATCAAAATAAAGAACTCAAGAATGAAGAAGTTATCATAAATATTTAAATATAAAATCAAGGGGTGCCTGGGTGGCTCAGTCGTTAGGCGTCTGCCTTCGGCTCGGGTCATGGTCCCGGGGTCCAGGGATCGAGCCCTGCATTGGGCTCCCTGCTGGGCGGGAAGCCTGCTTCTCCCTCTCCCATTCCCCCTGCTTGCGTTCCCTTTCTCGCTCTGTCTCTCTCTGTCAAATAACTAAAATCTTAAAAAAAAAAAAAGAAAAAGACCTTTAATAAATAAATAAATATAAAACCAATTTAAATTTTTTAAATATAAAAACAATTCTAAATACAAAGCCAATATTAAATCACTTTGAAATCATTGTTACAGAACAGAACATGAACAGTATGAACCTGGACAATATAAGAATAATACAACTAACCAAAACCGAGAATTGGAGAAGAGCGATGGGCAGTCTTCAGCCTTCATAAAAAGGAGTCAGTAATATTATGTAAACTGAAACATATTAGGGGTACCTGGATGGCTCAGTCAGTTAAGCATCTGCCTTCAGCTCAGGTCATGATCCTGGGGTCCCAGAATGGAAGAGCCCTGTTTCTGGCTCCCTACTCAGTGAGGAGTCTGCTTTTTCCTTTGCCCAACCCCCCCCCCCCCCACCCCAGCTGGCATGGTCTCTCTCGCTCACTCGCTCACTCTCTCTCAAATAAATAAAATCTTTAAAAAAATAAAAATAAACTGAAACATATTGGTAAAAAATAAAAAAAATCTTCATGGTTTTTGTAATTTCTTTTTTTAACTTTAGAGGGATTGTTAAAGAAATACCACAAAGAAATTTTATGTGTCAACTTGACTGAGGTAAGGGTTGCTCAGATACCTGGTAAAACATTTCTGGGTGCATCTGTGAGGGTGTTTCCAGCAGAGAGTAGCATATGAATTGGTGAGCTGAGTCAAGAAGATTGCCCTCCCCAAAGTGGGTGGGCATCATCCAACCTGTGGAGGGCCTGAATACAACAACAAGGTGGAGGCAGGGCAAATTCACTCTCTCTGCTTGGAATGAGACATCCATCTTCCCCTACCCTCAAACATTGGACATCAATGCTCCTGGTTCTCAGGCTTTCTGACTCAGATGAGGACTTATATCATCAGCCCCCCTCATCCCGCCCCTGTTCTCAGGCCTTATGGACTCAGACTGAAAGTACAGCCCTGGTTTTCCTGGCCATCCAGCTTGCTGCAGGCAGATTTTGGGACTTCTGGGCCACATAACCACGTGAGCCAATTCTCATAATAAATCTCCTCTTATATATCTCTCTCTATATATTTTATTGGTTCTGTTTCTCTGGAGAAACCTAATACAGATTTTTTTAAATATCTTCCTTCAGATTTGCTTCAGATCCCTTTTCTTCTTATTAAGTTCAAATAAAATGAATGTGTTTCTATTAAAAATAGAATTTCTGATAGGATGCCATTTGGCAAAGGGTTTCAACCAGCTTTTTGCAAAGAGCTGAAAATTCATATTAGAATGCCACTGCATGGTATTCATAGTTACCACTCCAACAAACTGTATGTGGTTCTCATTCTATAGGGTAGGCTCAGTTATAAATTCCATTAAAGTCCCAAGTATGGAATAAGCCACATAGTACCTCAACTGAAGATTGGATCCCGATGCCCAGAGTGGGCAATCAGGTAAATGCCACTCTGGAAAGGCTGTTACAGCCATGTTTCTCCTCTGGGTGTGCTACATGTTAATTGTAGCACAGGAACTATGGTTAAAGAAAGCAAAATCCAAGTTCCTGCTTCCTGAGTAGCTATGAAAAAAGCCAGACAACACATGATGTCACCACCTTAACTTGTGCTAAGATTGTGGAATTCACGGGGAGAGCTAGATATGAAGCATTCTTCAGTCTGCTTGACAATGGGGGTGAGAGTGGGGCTTCATCCTGGCATCCCTTCCTTCAGTTACTGCTCTGGCTCAGGACCATCTGCACACCCACTGTAAAATGCATCCTCTTTCCATCCATGTTCCATGTAACTTTGTCTATGTCAGTAAGCACCAATAGAAGACCCCTAGAGATAATTTCCCCTACTCTATATTGAATCCAAAACCAGATGTGGATTTTAAGGTTGAGAATCCCAAGCCAAGAAGGAGAAATTTAAAGTTTCATGAAATTGTCCAAATGCTTTCACTTTGAGCTGATTCTCTCAGGATTTTAGTCAATTTCTGGGTATGTTTAGGGGGCCCTTTTTGGTCTATAGCCTACAATGTGCAAAATATTTGTGGTTTCAGAGATTAACAAAAATTAAGCTTGTAATCTGCTCCAGCTGAGTCAATAAACTTCAGAGAAGGGTTCCATTGCCGTGGCCCCATTGGTCCCATCATGCCATCAAGATCAGGTGTCATTCATTCATTCAACCAATATTTAGTGAACATCTACTCTATGTCAGGCTCTGTTCAAGGCACAGGGAATGCAGCAGTGAACAAAAAAGAAAACAAAACAAGGAGCTTACATTCATTCATTCAACAAGTTCTTTGATGTTGCTACCTCTACAACATATCTGCTTTTTTTAATTATTGGTTTCAGAAGAATTCTAGAGACCATTGCCACTTAAAAAGTAAAACTATGTATGGGGCAACTGGGTGGCTCAGTTGGTTAAAGTGGCCAACTCCTGATTTCAGCTCAGGTCATGATCCTAGAGCTCAGGGTTCTGGACTCGAGTCCCACCTTGGGCTCTGCACTCAGCAGGTAGTCTGCTTGGGATTCTCTCTCCTTCTCCCTCTGCCCCTCCCCCTGCTCGCACGTGCGATTTCTCTCTCTCTCTCTCAAAAAT